AAAGAAAGAAAGAAAGAAAGAAAGAAAGAAAGAAAGAAAGAAAGAAAAGCAAAAGTGTATTTTAAACATCTACTGTGTATAGAACTGCTATGCTCTAAGAAATTTTTCTTAATATACAGAAATGTACTTCTGGCATTTCTGCAGAAAACTATGGAGGCTGTTCTTTGACCAGTAGTTTGCAGTCACAGATTTTCTCCCTTAGCAAAGTCTTAACTCATTCTTTCCAATGGAAGCTGGAAGTTGGAGTAATTTTATTCAGTTAAACTTACATTTTTGATTTTACATCCTTTGCACATACTTAGTGCCCTTGCTATTTTATTTCCTACTTTCTTTAGCAATTCATTCTAACTCACATTCCTTTGAGTTCAGTTCCCTAACTACTTCCTTTTGAGATACACTTGAAAGGGCTTGAAAGTTCAAGTCTTTTCTCTTTATCTTAATCTCTGCCTAGAATTTGACTCATCTCAAAGTAGGTCTTGGCTATGATTCTGTAAGTCAGGGAATATAATTATAATATTATTTAGTCATTTCTGTAAAAAATAAGCATTTTAGTATTGCAAGCAACTAAACACCTAAAATACATTTCTTCCATTAAAAAGTCATGTTATTCACTTTGAATCCTGATTTGTATTGTTATATAAGTATTATTCTCACACACACACAAAAAAAAATCATGTTTTTCTATCACCATTTCCTCAATAATGCTGAACTGCATGATCTAACTTCCTGTTGGAGCAGTATAAAAGCAGATTTGCCATATAATAAATCACAAATTAAAGAGCACCTTCCTATAGTTTTTTTCTAATGTTCTGTATTTTTAAGTAATGCTGATCCATGTCACCCATTTGTTCTACAGTCCCGTTCCATTTTTCTTGATCCGACTGTTTAACTGCAGTAAATTCTGGTTGTTTCTCATTTTCCTTCCTAAAAATGAGATAAGTTTCCTGCATTTCTTCCAGTGTAAAGTAAAAGGGAAATGTTCCTTTAACTTCCTAGGTGAGAGCTTATTTTTTGAGCATAAAGTATTTACCATGGGAACACTATCAGATCTGGTGGCGAATGAGTAGAAAAAAAGAAGTGGGATTATGTATTCATATAGTACAGTCTGCTTGAACAAGACCATCTTTCTTTCCAAATTTCAGTTGTGTAAGGTGGGAAAATGGCTTCTAATTTTAAACAACCACTGCTGAATATAGAAAATGTTAGCAGTAGCTTAGAAAAAGCTGTCGTATATTTTCTTATCAGTTTTTGCCAATTATCTCTGGCACTTCCAATTGATTTGGTGCCTGACCCATCACTATTCTATCTTAGCATTAATTCTCATCTTTCAAATGTTAGAGGAGTGATTTTCTTGGAAGGCTGACATTCTGCTCAGTTATTTGTATCTTCATATCCCATTTCCACCTTGAAAAATACAAAAAGCCGTTGGCCTTGTAAATATTCAGTTTTGCTGATTAAAGAGTTGAGTGGGGTCTAGAACCACTCTGATGCTCCAACTCCATTGGAATTTTTATATGCTATTATAGATGGGATTTCAGTTTGGAGTAAAAGGAATTTGGGCTATATAAACGTGCTACTCCTGTCTCTTAAAGGTAGCAAAATTGCCAGTAAAGGTTCAAAAAGAAGATTCTACATAGTTCCTATATGAATACTTTTATACACGAAGAAATGCTTCTTTTTTTCCTGCCTGTGGTTCTGCAGAACACTCAGCATTGTTTGTTTATAGCACGCAGATTTGCTTCTTTTCTTGTGACATCTTCAAAGCTTCAGTTGTAATGAAATTGCTTTCAGGATGCTTTGCTAAGATACTTTTAAAATATGCATTGTTTTCTGGAGATAAAACCCTAAATCTTCATTTCTTTCAGAACTCACTCCTTCCTCTCTTGAATTCTCTCTACCAGTAGAGTATTTGATGATGAAGATTTTTTTTTTTAAATTTTATTTATGAAAATGGATCTTAGAAGATGAATAATAATGACAATTTTCTGACTTATGTACTTTCACATTTATTTATATTCTGGGACTTATTGTTCAGGATATTTTCTCTTAAATACTGTAAAGCTATATTGATTAAATATTCTGTGGTTCTACTTACAGATCCTGGTAGGTTTAATTTTCTAAAGGTTAGTGTCACTCCAGTTTATAGGAGGGAGAATCTCTTACAAGGTTATTCATTAATTGCCAAAATTTCTAAACATCTACCTCAATTAAAAACCAAAATATCTGTTGTGAAATATTAAAATAATTTAAAATATTGTATTTAAAATTTTGAAACAATTAGAGAAGCATTGGTCATACTGACCATTATTTATGCAGCCATTAAGAGATATTGTTTGTATATTCTTAATAGATTTCAGGTCTCAGAACACAAGGAAATGTTCTGTTCCTGAAATGCAGCGACTGTTCCCAGCATATTTAACAATCAACTATAATTATGCCAGAAAGCTTCCTTTATCTTATTTCTAGTGATAAAATGTAAACAAATCACTTGTTTTAGATATATTTCTATTCAGTTGTTTTGTATTTGTTGTTCATTGAAAAGTCTTTCACATTATAGTTCTAAGCTATTTTCATTATACAATGCCCATGCTATCTTTACAGTGTGTAAACCTACAGTCCCCTACCAAAATAAAAATAAAAATTTTAAACAAACAAAACAAAACAAAAAAAACACCCACAAAGAACATTCCAATAAGTCATTTGAAAGCCATGATGGAAGGAGACTCTGGAGATGTGTCAGAGATTTAGGTAAGGAACTTCAGATGGAAAATTGGTATTTTAAAACTTGAAAGATTGGGATCTCAATTTAAATAATCAAAATGAGCATCATGCAAAAAGAGTAGGTACTTTAAAAATGTGATTTTGTCAAAATTAATTTTTTCTTTTCTCTGTCAACATTATCTATAAAGTGTTGAAATGAACATTCAGACAAGTCAACACTGGGAAGCTTGGATGTTTAAATGTTTTAAGATTTGTATTTGAAGTTCATCTATTGATAAGCAGAGGTCTACTGTTTTAAGTGATCGATCCAGATTTTCAATAGAGATGCTAACATAAATACGAAGAAACATTGATAGCTAGTAATACAGCATACAAGTATATGTTTTACCCCAAAAATATGTGATCATTTATTTTGATGTATTTTTATTTTCAAAGTAACTGTACTTTATTTTATTTATGTATTTTAGGCACGGAAGGGGCAGTGTTTGGACATTCCGTGGAGACACCCCATATCAGAGCAGAACCTTCCCAAGACCTCAAGTAGGTGTTGTTCAAAGAATTCTAAAATTAATTATTCTTCAAAACTAATTACAGCTTGATTAAAAGCAAATATTTATATGGTGATCTCTACTGCCTTCTTAATGATTCTTACATATCCAAAACACTGTTAGACTCAAATTTATTCTAACTATTCAGGAAGGACCCACTTGTGTTAAAACCACCTCATATTACTTGTTCAGCTTGTATTTCAGAGATTCACCCTTCCTGTCTTTTGGCTTTATTCATTAGCATGATGATTATTGCTGCAGAATGTTTTCCAACTCACCATTCCTTCATCTCGATTTTCCAAGATGGACTTAATTAATGAGAATTCTACTGAATCTTCATTCTGTTTTTTGTCTTTTAGTTAATCATGGATTCAATCCATTTTTTAATTTAAAAAAAAAAAAAAAAAAAAACAGCAACTTTTGCTGTCTGGTCAAGCAGAACTAGCTTATGTGTGATTTTTTTCTTACTATATTTTATATATAATGTATTCTGAAAGATTTTGTACATGTGTGCTGTTACGTGTTAGGTAGGATTCGATGATATTCCCTTCATAAAATATAACTACTATTAGGAAAGAGATTTCTTGGCTTTTGGCATGAACCTTTCTAGAAGGTAACCTGCAGACATTTTTTCAGCTTGTGACTTTAAAAAACTGCAAATAGTCACCGCCTTGTATGGTTGTTTCTGATGGTAAAATGGAATTAAATGCTCAGATCATATATATCTTTGAAAACTCCAGTTACCACATACTTATTTATCTTACTTCAAATGATTTTTAAAAATCCTTTAAAAAAAAAAAAAGTATTAAGCCCTGCAATACTTTCCCCCCCCTCCAAATTTTTTTTTTGCTGATTTTAAATTTGTTGATTTTAAATATGTTGTCAGAAAACAATTATTTACTATTGAAATGATTATTTGCTAAATATGCTGAAATAAATCAGCCCAAATATTATGCCCATTTTCTTGCCTCAGGCCCAATTAATAAAACTATACTGATATTGTGAACTGATTTTATCTTCCAAAAGAGAATAGTTGCATCCTAAAGTGATTTTTGTCTCATGCTACATGCCAGAGTGACTGGAAAATATAGATGTATTATATTTTTTTTCCAAAATACAGCATCCCCAAGTCTTGGAATTTTTGAAGTTAATGGTGACATGAGAAAGAAGAAAGTTTGCTGGGCTTACATTAAAACTCATTTTTTCAGTACACACATATGTTTGCAGTTTGATAGCAGGATTCAGTGTATAAATGCAAATACATTATGTTCATTTGAATAGTTATATACAGGTCTGAAAGACACAGGAATTTAATTTGATTAATTAAAATATAAATGATCCCTTAGTTTTTCATTTAAGTATACATTTTAAAGGTCAAATAATAAGCATCAAACATCAAGATATATTTGAATAACATGTGTATTATATTCAAAAAAGAGATATTGGAATAAAATTCATAACAATGGATATGTAAAACAATTACCTGCTGAATTCACAGAATTGTAGGGGTTGGAAGGGACCTCCAGAGATCATCGAGTCCAACCCCCCTGCCAAAGCAGGTTCCCTACAGTAGGTCGCACAGGTAGGCATCCAGGCAGGTCTTGAACATCTCCAGAGAAGGAGACTCCACCACCTCCCTGGGCAGCCTGTTCCAGTGCTCCGTCACCTCACTGTAAAGAAGTTCTTGCACACATTTGTGCAGAACTTCCTATGCTGCAGTTTCTGACCGTTTCCCCTTGTCCTGTCTCCACTCACCACTGAAAACAGTCTGGCCTCACCATTCTGCCCCCCACACCTTAGATATTTATAGACCTGGATCAGGTCCCCTGTCAGTCTTCTTTTCTCAAGGCTGAACAGACCCAGTTCACTCAGCCTTTCCTCATAGGGGAGATGCTCCAGGCCCTTCACCATCTTCATGGCCCTCCGCTGGACTCTTTCCAAGAGATCCTTGTCTTTTTTGTACTGGGGGGCCCAGAACTGGATGCAGTACTCCAGATGAGGTCTTACCAGGGCAGAGTAGAGGGGGAGGATCACCTCCCTCGACCTGCTGGACACGCTCTTTTTAATGCACCCCAGTAAGCCATTGGCCTTTTTGGCCACAAGGGCACACTGCTGGCTCATGGCCAACCTGTCATCCACTAGGTTTGAACAGTGGAAATTTTTGACAACCTTGATTACTAAGAATGAAGCTGAACTATACAGTTTCAACTACAATACAAGTTTCACAGTGTTTGAGCTGAAAGTTCTGGAATTTTAGCTCAATCTGTTCTGGATGAGGAGCCAGAAAAATGATGATTTATATTATGTACAAATTTCTAAAGCTTTGCCTCTCCAACACTCCTTGCACTATATCCAGAATTTGAAGTCTTCAGTCAAAGAACCATCTGTAATATATGGTATTAAAAAATGTATTGTATAAAGACAGTTCAGATAAGATTTTAAAGGATAGAAAAAATTTCTTTCCTATATGCCCAACTACTTTATTTGTTCACATCTTATATTTTCAAATAAGTAAAAAGGTTTTGCTTTCAGAAAATACTTTATACAAAATCCTTTGTGAAAGCTGGTAAGCCTCTTTGTATCAAAACCCAAAAGCTAATTAAATCTTACTTTTATTAACTGTAATAAGGAGCATAAAAGAATCATGCCAAAAGGAAAAAATATCTTAATAGTTTAATAGCATATTTCTCTTGCTAACTTTTATCACAAGAACTCAGGCAAACTAAACCACCAATGTGATAGGCCACCAAATATAGGTTTTAGGCTAATAGTGCATTAAAACATGGTGTAATAATTGGTAATATCTATTCATAAAAGAGGCATACAGTAGTTAAATGCCGATAGTTTTGACCTCAATAACCTTCTTGATAAAGTGGTAAATTTCTTTATTGTTGCTCTTGAGATACCTGCAAATCAAATCCAATAGTTTTTCTTCTCTGTGAAGCCTTGCTTACTGTTGACTACCAGCTAATCCTGCAAGGCTAATGCTGGGCATAAAATGAGATGGAAATTGATCAAACAGTAAGGAAGAACCCAGGATAGTGGGATCGTACATTAAGTCTGAAAGAATTCAGAACCTGGTACAAGGCATCTGTTTCATGTTGAGTTGCCTGATGATTTCTTAAGGACCCTCTTATGTGTCACTTTAGAAGTAGTTTACTAACAGGACAAAGTACCTGTTCTGTAAAACCGTGATACCATAGAATACATTAGAAAGGAATTTTGACAATAAATTGAGAGCAGACAGGGAGTAACAAAAGAACAGGGACTCTTCTCCTCATCTATTATACTCAGAAATCAAATAATAAAACAAATTTAATCAAAACTGAGAAGATGATGTAGAGTTAAAAAGCCCAACTTATTTCATATGTTATTTTTAAGGACCTCTGTTTCTAGCTTCCTTCTTAATATTAGTTTTTAATAAAGTGAAAGTATTCAGTTTGTATATTTTTAGAATTTATGGTTGGTGTTTGAATAGTTATTTCAGTGTTTGGGCATATATATTGCAAAAAATAGTTGAAAACAACAATTGACTAGCTGTTGAAAATATATTTTTCCACATACATGTTTGTACAAAATTGAGATAGGTGTAGTGAAAATCAGGAAAATTGACACAAGGTAATCAGCTTTATATTTATGTATTTATAAATTATTTTACATGTGTACATAAAGCAAAAGAAATATACATTGGAATAAATAGATAAGAAGGAAATGAGTTTCAAATGTTAGTTCCTAATCAGATAGAATAGCCTCTTAAACTGGAAGAGTAATTTACTTTCGTGTTCAGTGAAGATAATTATATTTGACTCAGGAGAAGGAAGAATATGAAGGAAAAATCTGAAGGAAGAAAGTACTGCTGTCACAATAGATAGCAAAATTTACTGAGTTTCATGTCATTAATTTGAGGTGCTGGATAATCTCTGTCTCTTGTCTTTGCATGAGCTAAACATGAAAACAAGGTCAAATAACCAAAATATATGAAGTTTTCAAACTAGAATGTAAATACTTTGAGTCTGATGGATTAGTAAGAGTGGCAGTTGTAATGAAATGGATGGAAAAATAGGTGAAAGGAGTATCTTAGTAGGTCAGATCTTTCAGGCTGGATTCAATGGTATGCAATGCTTTCAATATTATTCTGAAAGATTCTTAAAGAAAAGAATTATTAACAACTTGAAGATAAGTAAAAATTGGGGTGAAATAGAAGGTGGTGATATTATGCCAATCCAAAAAATATTTTTCCCTCAATAAGGTATTTGATAGTCTAGAAAACAGGAATTAGGTAGATCATTTCATCAAAGATCTGTGTAAAGATTTTGATATAGTGCGATATCTAATGAGAAATGAAGAGTGCATTTAGAGAAAATGTAAATGGTAAAGGTTATACTGTTCAAATCCTTCCTTCCACCTGATGGGTGATTGCAAAGATGGTTTCTTCAGGATGAATTTTATTCACAGATTTGATTAATTCACTCTAAGAAAGAAGCATGCACTAAGTTTTCTTTAACTTTCCTCACATCACCTGATTATTTTGTCAAGCTGTTGCTTTAAATATTTTCTCTCTTTAGCGTACCTCACCTTTCTCTTCTTCATTTTTTCTGGCCCTTTAGTAGCATCCCTGAAAAAGACACTCTAATGCTTTGGATTACTTTCTTTTCCTCCTCAGTAACAATATATTTATATTCTCAGTTGACCTCCTTTATTTGCCTGTATCAGGAAATTATTTTTCTGATTTTTATCTATGTCACCTAAAATTAAAACACTGTTATTTGGTGTGTTGTTATTATAATGCAGACTTGTTGAACTGAGGTCAGTGGCATATATTGAGCAATTAGAACTCAGATTTGAACCCAGCAAGGTGATTTCTGGGTTAATGAAAATTCCAGGAACTGTAATAAAGTCATGCTGACACAGTCAGTGATGTGTAGAGAATGGATATAATAGCAAATGCTGTCTTGAATGCTGTTCTAATTTAAATCATGAAAGTTTCATCTT